TTGACAAACCCAACTTGTAAGGGTAGAAGCAGAAAGGTCACGTACAGAGGAATGTTGGCAGGGGATGAAAATGCAGGAAAGGGAACCACAGAAGGAGGCTGTGCAGGCAATATAACAACAAAGAGCACATACGGGACATACAAGTATATCCAGATCAGACCGGGAATAAAGGTGAGAAATGGATGTATGTGAAATCAGTGAGAAGAAAGAATGTCCCTCATGAGCCACTGAAGTTTTAGGCAGGAAAGATCGATCTGGATAAAGGAGAACATATGTGCATTGGAACAATGTATGTAAAAGTTTGATGACAAATATACCAGCCTGATGATGCCCACAGACTAAAAGGAGTAGGAAATAAGTCTTGAGGGATAAGTGAAACATAGAATATGAGGAAGGAGTGTAAGAGTGAAGAACAATATTAACATTCTAATCTAGAAAAACTGCTCAACGAGGAGGCTTACGAATCTGGAAGGAATGCAATAAAAGAGAGATGGTAGAATAAGAAATCACCAAATGGTACTGGGAAAAACAGAAAGTATTGGATAAAGCTGCTCGATAACTATCTATGGAAGAAACAGAAGCCTCATGATCGAGGAATAGGAGGCCAAGACATAGAAAAACCCTGACTCAACAACCAGTTGCAAAATATGTTCCATTTACATTGATAAACTTAAAGACAGAAAGGGTGAATGGTTAGTGCTACAAATGAAGCAACATGTTTGAGAGTATCCACAGCCTGGGCCTGAGGATAAGGAACCAAAGAAAAAAGGTAACTTGTGTTGAGGAAAGTGGCAAAAGCATCCAGATGAGGAGTCCCACACTGATTGCATAACCACCCAAAAATCTGAGGGTCGAGAAACAACTCTGTGCAATAAAACTGGTTGAGTCTTGAAAGACAATCCACCACAAGGTTGAAAGCACTAGAACATGACACACAAGGAGATTTTTCTCCAGCATGTGGGCTCCACAAAGAGAAGAGGAATAGGTGCCCCCTTAGTGATTGATATAGGCCACAATGGTGGAATTTTTGAATGGATCATGATGTGTTGGTTCTGTACCAGAGGAAGAAAATGATCCAAAGCATGTTGTACTACCAGAATCTTTAAGATGTTGATGTGGTAAGACTTTTAGATCTGTGACCATTGTCTGGAAGCCTCCTGCTGATTGATCCATGCCCCCAACCTTGGAAAGAAGCTACTCTGAACAGATGTAAATCTGGATGAGGTGGAGGAAGCAGTACACCAGTCATTGTGTTGTCCTTGCTCAACCAACAATACAGTTCATCTGTAAGGGAGGGAAGATGGGTAACTGAGGGAGTCTAAAGGATCTCGAGCAACATTCCATTGGTTCTGCAGAGTCCACTGAAGAGAATATATATATGCTCGACCCAAGAGGATAAGGGCTTCCATAGAAGCTCATGTCCCCAAAAGCAATAAAACCTTGTTTGAAGAACAGAAAGCTCCATCGGATGGAGACGAAGTAGAGAAGGTTGGGCCCAACTGAGGTGGGTGTTGAAAAATACATCCAAGTGGATAAGGTATTGGGTAGGCAAAAGGAAAGACTTCTCCAACTTGAGAATTCAATCAACACAAGCTGATTCTGTGACTAGCAGATGTGTGTATTGAGAAGATTCTAGTTCTGAATGAGCTAACAGGAACCTGTCATCCATGTAGTGGTGTAAAAGCAACCCTCAAGCATGCATAAGTCAGGTAAAGTTCTTGAACACCTAACAAAATACATACAGTGCTGAAGCAAGCCCAAAAGGGAAAGCAAAACTGATACACAACCCCATAGTGGATAAGACAAAGATAGCATCTGGACTGATGAGAAATAGGAATACAGAGATAAGCATTCGAGATGTTTAACTTGGTCATCCACAGTCCTGGAGAAAAAGCCAACTGGAGTGTGAGAGATGACTCTATGGTAAAGCAGGAAAGATCCAGAAATTGGTTGTGAAAGGGCAGATCGATCCCAGGATGCCAATCCCCAGTTTTGCCAAAAAGCCTGGAGTAAAAACCTGAAGAAGGCTGGCTGACAGGCCCAATAGATCTCTGTGACAGAAGAGTTTGCACAGACCTCATATAGATGCTGTTGCCTGATAGTGGGATCCTGAGGTAAGGAGAAGGAAATATGTACAGGAGACAAAGGAAATGGATGAAAAGTCCTTCAGACAAAACTTAGATCACCCAAGGATCAGTAGTAAATTCCTACCACAGGGGAATAACATTGGCAAAATGCACCCCCACTAGACCATAAACCATCTGATAGTCACCAGAATTGCTGGCAATGATGAACCTGACATTGAAACACACAACGAAATGTCTAACCCCCAGTGGAAGGAATTAGTAAAGGATGGGATGGTACAGGACGAGAAAGTTATGGGATCAGAATGAGACAAATGAGCAACCAAAGATGAAAGGGTATATATCAGGAATATCTCCAAAAACAGACCAGTAGCAAAAAGGAGTCATTCATAAGTCCTGAAGAAAAGTTAATGGTAGACGTGAACCTCTGACAAGAAAGCATCCCTTCCCAAGAAGATCCCAACTGCAAAGAAACCACATGTGAAATGATAGGGCCAAGGAGGACAATCACACCAACATGGAGGTAATGAGGAAAAGGGTATCCTGCAAAAATCCCTCATGGGATTGGTGGAGTGCCTCAGAAAAAAAGTGTATGGTGGACAAGTATTGTAAGAGTACTGTAAACGTAAGACAAAGGCAGGAAAACTGGGCATGGGAGAAATGGATCGAATTTTCAGGGTCAGCCTCTCACAATGGCAAAAGTGACTCCAGCTGCTGGGAGTCAAGAAAAGGTTGATCAGCCTGATGATAAGCCAAAACATAATGATAAGATGCCTGTGGAGGACAAAGCATGCTAGCACCAGCCCTCAACTGAGAAATTAAATGCTCAGCATGAACCCTGATGTTAGGGGAAGGAGGGAAACAAGGTACTCTAAAAAGAGGGTGTCATGTACAAAGTAAGGAACAAGATCATATGAAATTGGTGAAACTGATAAAGTGGAACACACCTGAGAAATCATATCCAAAAAGGCTGAGTTATGCTTGGCAGATTCCAAAGGAGTAGCTTGGGAAGGCACGGCATAGTTAGGTGGAGAAAAAAGGGGGGTCAAAGTCCTCCTCATCATAAACAGATTTGGATGATTCATGAGGAACCCGAACATTGTCGGAAGATGAAGGAAGACTCATATTACAATCAATCTCAAAAACAATCCTCACCCAAGACCCCCAACCTGTAGTGGCACTCAATGTAGTGGGAAGAATATCAGAAGTTGTAACACAAACTTCAGAATTCATCTTAAACTGTGAAGAATTCAAAAATGAAAAAAAGAAGGATAAACAAAGGTAAGTTACTGTGGAAAACTACTACAGAAAACTAACTTTATAAAATCAATAATTCAAGTAAATCACTACTTCACAAAAAAAAATAATAATTAAATGATCACATGAAAAGAGCACAATTGAGCACAAGAGTCAAATGCATCACGAGAACAAGTCACACTCCTATTGATGGAGGATTGTCGCATGATGATTTATATGTGAGATGCAGTGAATCACGTCAATCGTGAAATATGTGGGAGTTCAAGGGTTGTGGAATGCGAAAACATTTTTGCATATAGAGGGTATCACTGAACAAAAATAGCTATACATGTGAGAGAAAATAACATACCATATCACAAATGGCATTATTCCTAGTAGATTTCCTAATTTGTGAAGAAAACCCATCCTGAACAGTTTCTAAAATCTGTCTCCTTCATGATTTAACTCTAAACTTTCCAAATCTATGTCTTAAATTAAAATCTCCCATAATTATGACCTCATTAATAGCTGAATTCTTTATCTCACTGTATTTTCTCATTAATTTCCTCACTTTCATCTGGTGGTCTTTGATAAAGTTCAAATTTTTTGTCCTTATAACCACTAACATAAACTGAAACAGATTCAACCTGATTATTTTTAGCTTTGATATGCTCAACTTGGACAGGATGTACCTCATATTTTACATATGAAGTCACTCTTTTTTTTTTTAGTAATTTATCCTGATTAAACAACCTATAACCCTGTATTTCAAAGAAATTCCTATCATCACAATTGTCTAGTTAAGTTTGTTAACCAAGTTTCAGTTATTACCACTACATCAAAATACTTTGTTCTGACTGTTCTTATACAGTTATGATTACAATAATAACAGTTTAGTCTACCATTAACACTACTTTTGTACTTTTTTCCTACACTACACTTTTCTCCACATTTTATTTTTACCTCATTATTCTGGCCCTCTTAATTGTCTAGACCTAGTTTTAAACTATCCTTACAGTTGAGTTAATAGTCCATATAAATAAGCTAGCCCCTACACTATTTAAATGTAAACTATTCCTTCCAAAAAGCTCCCTTTTTTCCACTGAACTGATACAACAAATCTAAACAACCAAAATGCTCATCTTTTTATATTAACCTAAGCCAAGCATTCAGCCCTTGTAATTTACCTTATATTTTCATTCCCACAATTATGACTTGGCAGTATCTCTGATAGCATTAAGTTATTATGGACCTTTTCTTTGAATGCCTTTATCAATGCTTTGTACGTAGCAATTAGCTCCCCTGACTTACCCTTCCTTACATCATTATCCCCTATAGGAACTACAAAAACCTCATCACTGTTAGCATCCTTTACTATATCACTTGCACTGTCAGTTAGATTCTCCACCCATGCCCCTGGATAGTATAATGTAATTCCTGTCTCCCTATTTACTCCATAGACTATTCTATTTATGTTCCATACCAAAGAATCACCTATAACAATAACCTCCTTATGTTTTCATTCCCATCCCTATTTGTCCATTTTGTTATCCTTAAATAATCAAACACTTTCACAGATATGTATAACTTTTGAGTTAAAAAAATACACTGTTGATACAGTAAATGTTATATCATAATTTTTCTGTCTTTTATTGAATAATGAATAAACTGGATACCTACATGTTACACGTCTGTAGATGGCTTGAATAATTGACCTAAAAAATGGGTCTTTCAGAAAGCTAACACCCACACTTGCCAATTCCTTAAATGGAAATTTCAGCTTTGAATTTTCTTTCAATAATTTCAGTGCTGATCTTTCATCATACAGACTACGAGTTAGCTTAAGCAGCATCTTCTCTTGTAGTTTTTCGAAGACATTTCGTGGTACTCCTAGCTGTTCCAGAATGGTAATCACTTGGCGATTGAGAAACACTGGTTCTGTTAGATAAAAGAACACAACCTCTTGTAATATCTATATTTTAGTATGAATCATTTTTTTTTTTATTTATACTTTGATTTCCCTTCAAAAAATTCTTTTTATTATGAATAAAAAAAAGTCTGGAAAACTAACTACGAAATATTAAAAAATAAAATTGAACAAAATATGTGATATCACAAAATATTCATTACTTGTTTTCTGAAGACTGATCTATCAAAAGTCTTACATGGTCTTGCCACTTTACGTCAAAACTAATACAGTTTCTATAAACAGTTGTATATATAAGAAAATGTAATAACTTTTAAACTAAGAAAACAGAAACATGTTGGTATATTCACTCTGAGATTTTATAAAATTTTCATATAATTATCATCCTCAATGAATTTCTGCGAACATCCTCATCATTTACCAAGCCCATAAACAATCACATATTCTGAAATTCCATCATTTTTAAACATTGGGATAAATCATGATAGACCAGAAATTTTACTCTCATTATGTTTCATAAAATTTTCTAAAACATACTTTGTTTAATAATGTCAAATTTCCTATAAACAAAACTTATCATCTAAAGTAAAGTATAATGGGAAAATGGTCAAAAGAAACCATTGTTCTCAACTATCTACATAGTTTCTTTGGTGAGTATCCACAAATATGATTCACTGATTCAAATTTATATCGATTTCCAATCCTGTTATATATTGCATTTCTCTGTCTTGTCCCCTATACACAATTTATAAAATATATACAACAAATGGTATTAATAATTATATTCATACCCGGCAGGTCGATGGATAGAGGTCAGACCAACTCAGTCTCATCCCGCTGCCTTGCGGGTTAGGCTTTTTAGCCAAAGGCTTTGGCTGAGGACCCTAA